CCCCAAAACCCCAAAACCCCAAAACCCCTTCACTCATTGATACAAGTTATGAATAAGTTTTATCAAATAAATAATAATACTATTATCTAATAATTTGAAGACTTACAACCAGCTACCTCATTTGAGATTATGAAAATAACTAAAACACTTTTTTCATTAGCATTTATACATGGACTAAAGGAAGCATTTTTCCTTATCCTTGCCCCTTTCTTGCCAGAGCAATTTGAGAAGAAAGGAATCTCATCAATATACTTCACTCCTCTTTTTGTGTAATTCATTGTTTGCTTATAATTAAAGGTCTTATACCGTGGCTTCATTCTTTACTGCCCTATTAATTGGAAAGTATCAATCAAAACTGGGAAGGTCAATCATGATAAGAACTGGATTGATCTTAAATGTTATATCTGCAATTGCTTATATCTCTTTGGAATATTTTAACTCAAAGTAATTTAAATTGAAATTCTACAATGTTTAGACCTGTATTTCTGAGTATTGGGTTTACTTCTCGTATTGTATAAGGAATCGCAACTGGTTTATTATAAACTTCCTGTAAATTTGTGTATATTAATTATTTATTAGCATTTGCAGAATTATCAATTCAATTTCCTTAGAATCAAGAAGGTGTGGTATCTTAGCTTGAGTTTGCTTCAGGTTGGGGAGGAGTCCTTGGATTCATTATCTCATCTTTCTTATCATATGTTATTGGCTATTAAGGACCTTTTATTTTTTGTGGTATTAAATTTTTCTCTTAATATTTTATAGGATTAATATTTTTGCTATTAGCAATATTCTAATCCTTTTTGATTAAGTTTATTCCGAGAACACATAATTCCTCAGAATAATTGACAGCAAGAGAATTAATAGCATAAAAACTGAAAGATCTTGCTTTCAATCAGTCAATGGTTTTGAATAGACTAAAGTCTTTGAGTTTTGAATAAAGTTACAATAAAAATGAATTAAAATTGGAAGACATTGAAATGGATGATTTTGAAATTAAAAAAAAATCAGGAGAAAATAGTGAAAAATCGAGCTCTGGATCATCATCCTCTGAAAAAATAGATATTTCACCATATATTGAAGATGAGGAATTAGACTAAGCATTTGATATTAAAATATAGGCAGAAACTTAGAAGAAGAGTGAAGTAAGTTACTTCGATATATTCAAATCTAAGTTCGGAATATTTGCTGCAATAGATATAGTGATTTGCTGCTAGATATTCACTTTCACTGACACAGTGATGCCTTATTATTTAGAGGAAAATTTCAAATATAGTCCTAGTATTGTTAGCTTAATTTTTGCATGCCAAAACTTTGCTCTCATGATTACTTGTTTCCTTGTGCCTAAGTTAACCAAGAAATATAATCTATTCCTATGCATTATCATTGCTTAAATAGTTTAAGGTTTTGGTGCATAACTAATAGGACCTTCAGAGTTTCTCAAAATTCCTAATCACATATCAGTCATGATTATTGGACTAATGATAAATGGAATGGCAACAAATCTAAGTATTATTCCTCCATACAAATAACTAGAACTTTGTCTGTTAAGTCAACAAGGTAAAAATTATGATCATGAAAAAGTGAAAGATGCAGTTTCTGGAATATTTAATGCTTTATATGATCTTGGGTCCACATTCGGGCCGATATTTGGATATTTTCTGACAGAAGCTACTGATTTTAAAATGGCTGCAAATATCCATGGTTATATCTTAATATTTGTCGCCACAATGTAACTAATAATTGTATATATCCCCTAGAAATTAGAGGAAAAAAGGTTAGCTAATTAGACTGTTAAAATTTAAAATGTCTAAACAAAAGTTCCATCAAAAATAATCATAAAAAGTAATCATGATAAATAAAATATAATAGAGTAGTAAATAATAGTACGAGAATAATTCGATTACTGTTAAAATATATGATCGATGATATTAAGTTAATATTCTTAAATTTTTAAATACATAAATCTCAAGAAATTTCCATTTGAGGGGTTTTGGGGTTTTGGGGTTTTGGGG